TGGCCAACGTGTCCCACGAACTGCGGACGCCTCTCAACGGCGTCATTGGCAACTCGGAGTTGCTGCCGACAGCGCGCCTCAACAGGGAGCAACTGGACATGGCGGACTCGATCCGAGTGTCTGCCGATCTGTTGCTCACGGTCATCAAACGACATTTCTCGATTTCTCGAGAATGGAGGCCGACAAGATGAAACTGTATGTCATCGCCTTCAACCCGGAGGAGATGGTGCGTGAGGTCGTGCGTGCTGTGTCGTACAGCAACAGGCAGAAGACACAGAGGAAGAACGTTACGATTACCAAGGACATCAACCTTCCCCCGATGCTCATTTACGGCGACCCCATCCGTCTGCACCAGGTGCTTGGGAACCTTATCAACAACAGCCTCAAGTTCACAGAGAATGGTTCCATCACGATCGGGGCGCAGGTCGATTTCGATTCGAACGAGAAGGCTGTGCTTACCTTCAAAGTCCAAGACACCGGCATCGGCATTCCACAGCAGCAGCTCGAGAAGCTGTTCCAGCCGTTTTCGCAGGCGGACGCCAGTACAGCAAGAAAGTACGGCGGCAGTGGTCTCGGACTCAGCATCTGCAAGTCTCTGATCGAGACCATGATGAAGGGCAAGATTCACCTGGAGAGCCAAGAGGGCGTCGGCACCACGGCTTGGTTCACCGTGACCTTTGACAAGGCCACGCCGGACGTCAATGCAGGTGACGCGCAAACCGTCAAGTCGCCGCCCATCGCCGACCGTTTCACGATACCCGCGACTCCGCTGAACGAGCTGGCGCCAAACCCGTTCATCCATCTGACGACCATACCGAAGGACCAGATCCGAATTTGCATCGCCGAGGACAACCTGATCAACCAGAACATTGCCATGAAGTTCTCGCGACGCCTGGGCTACACGACGGTGGACGCGTACGAGAACGGGCAAAAGGCAATCGAAGCACTGAGAAAGAAGGCACAGGAAGGAGAGCCATATCACGTTGTGCTCATGGACGTGCAGATGCCTGTGCTCGATGGCTATGAAGCGACCAAGGCAATCCGTAGCGAGCCCTTGGAGGCCGTGAACAAGGTCCTGATCATCGCCATGACGGCATCGGCGATTCAGGGTGATCGGGAGAAGTGCCTGGCGGCCGGCATGAACGATTACATCGCGAAACCCGTCCGGGTGGACGTCTTGGGCCGAAAGCTGGACAACTACATCATGCCGCACACCGCGGCGACGGGACCCGGCAGCAACACATCCGTGAGGCCATCCCCGGCATCTGGCGCCTTCGCGCCGCCACCTAGACCTGCGGCGGTGCCCGTGTCTCAAACCCCGCCATCTTCGCGCACAACGCCAAGCCCGCCCGTGTATCCCGGCTTCGAGGGCAACGGCGTCGCCGCCAGCGCGCCTATTCCCATTCGCGACAATCCCGCCTATAGCCGCCCGTCCGTTGTGCCGCTGGCGCCAAGCCAACGATCGAGCGAGACGCGGCTGTCGGACGCAACCGACGCGCCGTCGGTGACGCCCTCGCAGAAGCGGCTGACCAAGAAACTCACCAAGAGTCGCACGAGCAGCGAGACGAACATGATTCCGCCGCCGCCGCCGCCGTCAACACAAACGCAAGAGAAACCAGAGAAGACCAAAGGCGTGCTCACGAAGCGGCCGCCGCAACGGCAGGGGACGACGTCTTCGACAGACGGGATGGAGAACGTACCGCTTGACACTGCTCAGCGGAACAGCGCAAGCTCGAGCCGGGACCGGTTTTTTATGGGCTGAGGGCTTGCGTAGCTCAACCCCAGCTTTGAAGAGGCGTGGGCGAAGCATCTTTATTTTGAGGGAACATGAAGCACTTTTCATAGACGAGAGCATCTACAGCATGTTTCTAATTTGACTTTGAGGAAGAGGAAGACAGAAGAAGATGTAATGCCTACCCGCTAGTGTTGGGCAACGGCATAGCAGACGGGGTTTCATATTTCTTCTTGCTTTTTTGTTTTGTGGCCCCCGGGGAGTCGGCAGTTTCTTCCAGCCCATTCTGCTTTCTCGCTATCCTTTACTCTTTCCTGCACGGCGCTCGGGAAGGGATGACGGTCGGGGAAGGGGAAAACAGGGGGAAATCATTGGGGAGCACCACCACGTTTTACTTCTTGTTGTATGGTACATTTACGCTTCTGCACATGTATGTGGTGCGCTGCCAGTGGAGAGAAAACGAAGGCAGGATGAGGGAGGGAGCGGGAAAGACGGATACAATGCAGTGGGCTGCTGCATGGACTTTGTTTGACTTGACGTACGAGTGTCTATTTTGATGGCCCCGTCTCCGAAAGACGCAAGAGAGAGAGAGAGAGATCTTGCGGAAATGAAAACCGATTCATAACACCACCTCCCATGTGACTTCTTTCGTGCCTCAACTCTATCTGCAACTGTAAAGTGCCTTCTGATCCTGATTGCAGTTGTGTTGGCCAGGTTGACAAGCATAGGCGAGGACAGAGAGCATCATGATGTGATTGATACCTATTTTGTACATGGCGACATACGATATTTCGGATGGTAGTATCAACATCCTGAGACGACAGTGACAACTCATTCCCTCCCCTTCCGGAACGATACCCTCACTCCCAAACTTTGATGCGGCGGAGTCCAAAGTGAGCACATTGGAGGCTATGTTGGGAAGCTTTCACACAAGTGCGATAGCAGGCCAGGCAGATACAACATAACTCGTATCTATCCATACCCCTTTTGACTCAGCCACGGGCTAGCAGGCGAGGAGACGCACGTCAAGTCCATGCATGCTACTCCATCTGCGAGACAACTTTCGTCTCTGGCTGCCGCTCTAGCTTGTAGTAGGAGTGGGCTGATGTTATGAGGCGCACAGATCTTGACCCGAAGCATCATCACTGCTGCGACGCAACAGAGGTCGAGGCACTTTTGCATCATGAGCTGACTGACTGACTGACTGACTGACCGACTGGAGCCGCCCGGTTGTTTGAATTGACGACTAAAAATGGCCGAACAGTCCGCGCCGATGTCGACATGGCTCTCGGTCGGACCCTTTCTTTCTGGCCACACCCCTTCCCTCCCTCACCCCGCCCTCCGGTCTCAACCGTTCGTCCCATCTGACTTGTTGCTCGCCCGATTAAGCACCGGCAACAGTCAGCGGCGCACACGGACCCCCTCCCTTCTTCGGCCGTGATAAATCAGATGAGACGCTCTGCTTGCCTTGCCGGGAGGGGTTGGTTCGCCCGACTGCGCGTTCGTCCCAGGTGGCGGGGGAAGGCTTGGTCTCGCGCCCTCGTCACGGACGGCCCAGCACCCGCGACTGCCGCCGTCTCGAGCACGCGGCCGGGAGAGGGGTCAGGGCGGACGAAAGAGACTCCGACACCCGTGTGCGCCTGCTTCTTGACTCACTCGACTGTCTGAGGATTTCCAACTCATGACGAGCTGGAACCTTTATCGCGTGTCGGCTTTAGTCGCGCTAGGTCCGCAAGCTGGGCAGTCTGTTAGTCAACGTCCAATGTGAGCAAGAGCAGCAGATCCCTCAAACGGGAAGCTCTCTGAAACATGCCAGCATCTCATGCCGACTCATCCGTCTCAGTCGGCCAACTGCCGACTTACTGCGTCCATGACAACAACAAGGAACGTAGCCTGCAACCGCCAGATGGATTCTTGTGCTCCTTCGCGAAAGAGAAAAAAAAAAGCAACCACATCATTCAAGGTAGTGGAAATACTGACAGAGCAACCCAGCGTCATGCTCGCTGCGGGACCAACCTGAGTGCTCACGGACCGCCGAACAGCGCACGGGCATGGCCGTTGCGGGAGGGGAAAGCAGGCTTCTCTCATCTGCCGTGCCCAGGATCGCCCTCGCATCGGAAGAGCTGCCTGGTGAGGGTTCCCCTCTCGATTCGGTGTTTCATGTGACTTTCTTGGACGTCCGTGATAGAACATCGCGCCTGTCCGCGTGTGTGTGCACGGCGCCATGTTTTGCATGAGATCCTTTGCGTGCCAGCCCAAGCCTAGCTGCCTCCCAGCCTTATCTCCTCCTTGCAAAGTCTGGATAGGTGCAAAGTACGACCTCGTGGCGGGCAAATCCATGAACGCTCTTGGGCACCGCAATCTCGAGTTTGAGCTATGCGATGGTACGACCCCACAGAAAACGCTCACACAGAATGCAAGTCATCTCTCAGGCTTGCACGCTGTTGCCGCTTCGGGAGGAGGATGCCAGCATAGAGCAAACCCTACAATGCAAGTTGCATGTCGGCTGAAGTTGTAGTGTATGTGTGATTATTAGTCTCGAGTGAGAACCCAACCCTGGTCGCAGATCCATTGCTTCAGGATGCCTGCTGCATATGCCAGCAATGCCAAGGCGTGTTTGCACCACCCCACTTCTCATTTAACTTGCACATTCGAGCTGACGCCATGTGAGGCTTGACAACGGGAGATGAGAAAGAATCTGCGCCGCAGTTCGAACATAACAACGGTGGCTCGTCGCTTGCATTGCTCTGGTGCGGCGGGTAGCCGAGCTACTTGCTCCTATAACCACGGCGGTATAACACAGCCCTTGCCGCGGAGCCGAGTCAGGGGCCAAGGTGGCATTCCAATTAACAACCGCATTTGCTCCCAATGCAAGTTTTGATGAGGCAACTGACTACCAGTATCTGGTATATGGAGTCATTACTTACGACTCGTCCGAGTCGTACGTGTCTGTCGTCAATTTTCCTCTCTAAGAACGCACAATCATATTGATTGGGCAAAGATCTCAGATCTGGTAGGAGAGAGATGGAGTGACACTGTGAAAGGTCCGATCCACCTAATAAACTTGGGACCGGGAGAAGCAAGGCCCCCTCACCCACGGACCCTGGCCAGCCTAAATGGAGGGAAGGACAACGGAGTAGGCGGAGTGGATGATACAATTTGTGCTTGAGACCCTTCCAGGATCGCTTCCCAGTCGCGCGGGTTCGTTGACTCGCTCGGCCCAGGTTGGGAGCCGGGGAGAAGGGCAGCAAACCGAAACGTCTCGAAGAGGGCAGGATCAGAGGAGTGAGCTCCAGATGTTGCTGCGTGATTTCCATCCCGCCAGGTTCTAGACCTGTCGATCCTTACTTGTTGCCTTGGACGCTTGCACACCAACCGGCCTGGCTGGGAAGCAATCCTCTAGTCGAGCGGAACTGAAGCCGGTGCAACGAGCAAGGAAGAGGCGAAAGTGGAGGTTGCTTGGTGGATATCCTCGCTTCTTCGACTTGTCAGAGTGGCTGTCAACCACGTTTTCGACGGCGTACGCCACAGGTACCTGCGTGGCGGTACGGCGATCACAACCAAATGGTGGCCAAACTGGGTGCGATCAGATATTCGCTGGTTCCAGGGAGCCTGCAAGCTAGAGAGGCGACAGGCTCGTAGAGATAGGGCAGGTACATAGAACAGAAGGAGCCAGTGACTTGACGTTGCTGGATTCCGCCGTGGCTGCACCGTGGCTTGAGTTGGTGTCTCCCAAACTGGAGACCGCGTTTGATTGAAGGATTGAACGATGGGCGGCTCACCATGTTGCCCCCCCCCCCGCTTTTGCTTCCTTGTCCTTGTCCTGTTCCTGGCATCCAGGTACAGCACCAGACTGGCAAAACTACTGTTGTTCCGCCGAAATGTGTCGGCATGTGTGCTCGTTCGGACAGGCTATGTCTTCCCCGCGCCGAAGAGGAGGGGTTCCAGGCGTCGTGTGCCTAGATGACGGTAGCTTTCGCGTTTCATGCCTTCTTGGGATGGGGTTGGTGTGTGAGGGAATACATTGATAGTTCAGTGTATATCACTAGACTCGTAATTACACCGCTGGTAGTGGTGTTGTTGTCCCGGTCGACTGGAAGCCCACGTAGCGTGATGTTGGCGGTCTGGGTGAAGCTGATCTTTGTACATTTCGACTGAGCGACAGCATGAACGATTTGAACGACTAGGTTGCTAGGCTTGAGGCGAGAGAAGAAAAACCACGAACAAGATCGCCATTATCAATTGCTTGTTTAGATCTTCAAGTAGAGGCTACCTCTGTCCCAGAAGCACGAAGCTCTAGACGCACCAGCCCGCGGCCGTTCGTTGCTGGCCGCCGATGCTTCCCGCATTGGGTGGCTCGTCGAATCCCGCCTGTGGGTAAGCTAAGCCCTGAGGTGTGGGAGATCGCGCGCTCTGTGATGGCACCAGCGCTAACTGAGCGTTGCCATGCCATGCCACGCCTTGATTGTATGCCAGTTGGTTTAGTTCTCGGCCTTGAAGCTATCAGCGGACACGCTCGAATGAGGGAGGGCTGTCGATCTTGTAAGCCGGCGCGACGACAGATGCGCGTCAGGGAGGGGGGTCCGCAAATGAGATTGGCCTGGCCTGGCCTGTTTGTGTCTGGTACTTCCTGCCCCTCTGAGCTTACGGATAGACGCAGGTCGGCGTTGCGGCTGGGACGAGGACACGGGTCAGCAGCACGTCAGACCCAGGTTATCATGGACACGGAGGTCCGCGCTTGATCCAGATGCAGAAGCTGAAGCTGTCGGAGCTGAGATTTGAGCCGTCGGGGTTCAGAACGCATGGCGCGTGGCGGCAGAGCCGAACTAGCTGTACATGGTGTCGGTGTCAAGAATTGGACCGATTGAGGCCTAGTCTGCTTGGAGCTCTAGCTGGTCAAGCCAAGAGCTCTTCTCTCTCTTCTGTATAACGCTCTATGTCATCGCGTTCGTCCGATATGGCATAAGTCGTGTGGCGGTACCGTGGAGTAGGGATGAACGACAATGGGTCTGGACGTGGTTCATAAGTTGCATTGCCCGAATCATGACGGTACATGTAGTGCTGGAAGATAAAGGGCCAAATGTCCAACAGGAGCCGTTCAATGTGAAGTCGGCCCCTGGTGTTGTGCGCCGTAGATATGCTCCATATGAAGGCATATATGTCTTTGTAGGGATCTCACAACTTTCATCGGCCCCCACTTCCCTCTGGCTAGAAGATCGGGGGGGGTCTCTTGCTTTCACCAGGGGGGAGAGACCTACAGAATGATCTGGGCAGGTGCCATGCAGACTACCAAGCAAGAAGGGGGTCTTCTCAGCAAGCCCAGCAAGCCACGAGTTGATCGTTCTTTCCCCAAGAAGAAAGTATCCCGGAGTGCATTTCCTCTTCTGGGCTAGTGGTCTCTCGGTAGGAGAGTATTTGGTGTCGCGTCGTTTCAGATTTCCTGCACTGAGCTTGCCTTGACTGGGATACAAGGATCTGCCTGCCTGCCTGCCCGCCTGTCGTTGCCTTTTCGCCAGTCCCCCCGTTGCTGCCAAACCCCCATCTTGAATCACCAACTTCGAGTCATCCCAAGTTGGCCATCTTGTGTTCGAGCATAGAACACGCTGATCGTCCTACGAGTTACCCGACATTCCGACGCCATACTGGAATCGACACGAAAGGATCGCCCGACGATGGAAAACATTCGTCCTCGCATTCGACGGCTTCCTGTTTCGGTCAACCTTCGCAGTCGATCAATCAATCGGTGGCCCCCATACACCCTTGATGAGCTGAACGAAAACCAAACACACACACCGTATACGGTATACCAACTAGATCGATCCCCTGTCCAGGTGTAAGATCATGCAACTCCGACGCCTGCCACTGCTGCCTCTGGCTCCATACAAGACTCGCGCCACAATACATCCGACGTCTTCCCGCTTTCTGAGAAATTTCTTTTCGCCAACGTCATGGTCTGGTTTGACAGGGCTCCATTTTAAATGTTATTGCGAACTGTCCTGTCAGTACCGGCTTCTCGTCCTGCTGGCGCAAACAGCCCTTCAACAGCGCTGGCAGAGGTTTGCCACAATGGCCCAAAAGAACACAAAGTTTGGTTGAACACGGTCCTATCCGTGCCGCTTGGCTACACTCCTCGCCTGGTAGATGGAATTCTCTTGCCTGAACCAGATCAGTGCACGAAGCAGTGTGGCGTAGTTGAGTTTACAAGTGGCATGTGGGGAAGAACCCCCCTCGGACACAGCGCCATAAGTGCCCTCGAACCAAACTCGTGCACCATGCGGGGGCTTTTCACTGTACTGGAGGTCTTTTCCATCAGCGAACCAGCCCACAGACTTGGGACTCTTTCCTATAAGCCAGATCTGCCAACAGGGCCCCATTTTTGTGTATGAGCGAGACCGAGACCGAATTGCTTTCTAAAGCTTACAGCACGAACAATGGCTTTGATCTGGAAATCGCCATCCCCTGGAGACTCAAATGTGCGGTCGACGGCTTCTGCCTCACTCATGCACCGCCATGGATAGACAGACAAGTACGAGCCGCGCTAATACATTCCGCGTCTGGACGTACGTCAGCCTGCCCGGTTCCAGGACGGACTACGCAGTATGCGTCCACTGGGTATCACACTTCGGCCCCCGAAGCATGCGTCAACTGCTGCGACACCACGGCCTCGGTGACTCGAACCACCGAATAGCGACAACGAACGGCCATTGGCGTAACGCCCGACTGAGTGAACAGCAACGTGTGAATGAGCAGGATTTGGGAAGGTTGCTCAAGAAAGATGTCTCCCTGCCTCAAGATGGATCCAAATTTTGTTTGATCGGAGACGCGGCCGGGACTGTGTGCTTCACCATGCTGCATAAGGCCAGCCTGACCTATTAGCAGAGCCACCCAAATGGTCCTCCAAAGACTCAGATGTCGGAGGACAAGGCGAGCTGGCTCCAGCTCCAGACGCCTCATCCTCGTCTCACGTTTCACTGGACCCCGTACCTTACCCATACAACTTGAGGGATGACTATCTGTCTCAATAGCACTGTGGCGCGTGCCAGCTCTGGCGCTTGGGTGACTGCCTTCTGACCGTCGATGTTCCAAATTCCGAACCCTTCTCTCTGGTGACGAAATGGTGGGTGATACTCACAGGCTTGCAGCCCAGGATATCCTGCTAGGCGCCGTTGGTGACACGCCGTCGACCAGATTCGACATCAGATCCGCGTCTTCTGCTCGCCACCCAGAGGCAGGCTGGGAGGGTGACATGGATGGTCGTTCGATACGGCTAGAGCCGTACACACTACTCGATTTTAGTGTTGGTATACTGTTCGGACTGGCTTGAATGGCAGTCTGAGTGACCAGCAGCGAGCGCATCGAGTCATGGAGCTATTCTAACGCCACACAACCTGCACAACTGGCCTCACAAGCTTTCGTGAAAGGCATCTTTGGTCTGTGCCTCTTGACCATGTTATTCTGCCCACACTCGGCAAAATTGGTCCTCATTCCAAGGCCACATCCGTAACAAAATCCACTGTGGCTGGTCCAACCGACTTTGTTCGTGATATGAGTGTCCACCAAAAAGGACCGGCAGGTAAGGGGGGGGGGGCGCTGTGCAAGGGGGGTCAAGAGGAGGGGGCCGGGAGGGGTGCTCAATCTCAACGTGGGTGTAAGCCAGACTGAGAAATCGACAAGCTGATCAGCCACAGCAGCCCCAGCTTCACGCGCCGGGATGGAACTCTCTTTGGTACGGAAAGAGGCACGCGTACGTCGACAGGATCGTGTTGTGTACAAGCCGGCCGTTACGCCCTCCCACCACTCGGCAATGCTCTCGTTTGGGCAAGAGGCGCATGTGTCCATGTGGGTGGTTTGTGGCAGTTGGACGAACTTGTGCTTCTGGTCCAAAGGTTGCAGTCAACCCGATCCCTGCCAACGTGCCTCGTCAATCGGCCCTCGAGTCTCAGTCTCCACACAAGTCCCGCACCTAGAACATTCCGATATTGTCGATCTGCTGCTCCTTGGGGGCTTAATGGAGTCCTCCCTTGCTGCACGGATTGTCGCCGCGAATGACAGAACCTGTACTGCTTGGTCTTCTCAACCGCTCTGACAATCAACAGCATGGCTTTTGTCGAGAGAATACAGACCATAGGCTGCTAGGAGTCGTCAAGGGATGCTGGTCAATGAGATAGGGCTGCTATGCCCCTACTAAACCAGCTGTGGCTCCTGGTCCTAGCGCTGGCTTGAGGCGGGCTCATCATACCTGCAAGTCGACGGGCTGACTACTGGCTAGGTGCCTTAGCCTCCACATCACATACCTGCACATCCAAGCAGCACATACCCTCGAACGTGGCTGTATTGGCTGCTCCTTACGAGTAGGTTCTAGAGCCCCAGTGCCCTTCAGCCACTGTCCAGGTTGATATCTTCTGGGGTTGGTCAAAGAAGTAAGGCAAAGAAAGAAAGCAAAAAAAAAAAAAATGGCGACTCGCAAGTCCCCGTTTCGTCGAGCCATAGTGGCGAAACCCAGCTGGCACCTATTGTTCACCAGCTCTGCCGAGTCAAAGATAGAGTTTTTTTTTCGTTTCTCTTTTTCTCTTCCTCTCTCTCCCCATTCTCTCATCTGACCGTTCCTGCCTGGAAGACTAATCCCAACGTAGAGGGAGGAAAGGCGTAAGATTCAAGATCCAAGTTTCATGGTCTGCCCATCCCAGATCCTCGAATCAACCTTTCAGACCTTCGCCACACCTGGTCACACTCTGGCAAAGGCCCCGCCACGGCCACACACCACACCCCTGGACCGCCCCCCCCCCTCTCTCCTCCGTCACCCCCCTCCGGCTTGGAGACACACCCCCGTGTCCGTTCCCCTCCAAAGTCATCTCTTCTGATACGCGCTGGTTGTCACTGAAATACACCAGGCCGTCCGGCTTCTCCACACGGCCATCGACCTTTCCCCTTTGGTCGTTGTCTAAACTGTCAAGCAACGGCTTGGGCTGAGCGGTTCTTCTCTCTTGTGCAGAGCGGTACAAGGGTACATTGGAGGCTCGCTGTTGCGTCGTCTCCTTCCCACGCGTTGCCTGCCACTCATCTCACTGCCAGGTTTCCCTGTGGACGACACCCCCTCCCCTCCGACAACCCCGGCCGGGCTAGAGAGGCAACGGACACCACCCTCAACGCCCCCAGAGTCTCGTCCTTGGTGCTGCTACTACTCACTACTAATACTACTCCCACGACTGCTACCGCTTGAGCACGCTGCCCTCACTACGGCTCCATTCCCGGGTACTTCTGGTGTACGTCCCTGAACCTGGACCTTGTCCTGGACCTAGACCTGGAGCCCCCGACCCGTCCCTACGTCGGGTGTCCTCCCCTTACTACCTTGGCGAGCTCTCGAGGCATGCCTGTGTGTCCATCCGGTACTCTGTACCCGTCTGTACCCATGACTAGATGAAGGGCTGGGCCTGCTCGTGGAGATAGCTCATCACCATCCGCCCCGCCCATCCGGTCATTACAGCGTACTACATCTACTTACTTGAGCCGGTCGTTCCTCTCCAGGTTTGCACTTCCAAAGGTTATTCCCACCACCCTACTCTTCACCTTCTAAGCTACTACCTCTTCCTTTGTTTTTTTCTCCCCTTCCCTTCCCCTCTGTTTCGGTCTCACTGCCTAACCCTGCCTTGACAATTGCTTCTCCTCCCATGTTGCCCAACCAGAGGCTCCAGCCATAGTCGCACCACCCACCAAAAGTATACATGACGATGCTCACAGCCAAGCAGCCAGTACACTACGGCTACAAGTCCGTCCATGACCTTCCGACTCCGCCTTCTACATCCCGCCTCTCACCTCCTCTGGCCTACCAAGAGCCTGCCCGCAAGAGGCTGCCTGCCGTCCCATCCCTCCGCAGCCACAGACCTCCCGACCAGCATCTCATGTCCCGCACCCGCACCGCGGGCTGCCGATGCCGGCTGCAATGACACTGCCGCCTCAGCAGTCTCACGCCAGCAGCGCATCAGGCCCTCCGCCGCCTCCGTTACCGCCAGCCTCGCAACCCGGTCTCAGCTCGTCCATCTCGTCGTCATCCGCCCATGCCCACCATCATCTTGGCCAGCTGCCAGGTCCACCCCCGCAGTGGCAGGGTGCCGAGGAGTCCATGAGAAGCTGGCTCACCGCCAAGGCCGAGGAGGACCGTCGGAAGCAGGAAGAGGAAAGGACCAAGCAGGAGTCATTACGCCTCGAGCAGCGAAGGATAGAGGCCGACATGCTGCGAACTTCGCTTCAAGGCGGTATCCCACCGCCTATTGTACCTCTCGTTTTTGCCGGAATGGGGGGAGCTGTATCACCCACGGCCTTGGACATTGCGCAGCAGTACATCGCATCGCAGGGCCACGGAGCGCATCCTCAACTCATGTCTACACAAGGCGGTCAGCGGTCACCTGAACATAGGCGAGACTCGCAATCGCATGGGTACGGTCCCTACACGGGGGTGCCTTCGACCCCAGTATCAGCGCCTGGTCCTCACGGTTATGCTGCCTACCCTGGGTCGCCTCAGACTAGAGGCAGAGCCCAGACCCTGTCGTCAACAGGGTCAACAGGACGTGCAGTCGGCCCCAGCTCCAACCTGCCTAGTCTCAACACGGGAGCACCACCGGCAGGCCAGTCGCAGTCGTCAATGCATGGGCACGTCCACGGCGGACACGCGCCATCCCAGCAACTATCAGGCCAACAAGAGTCGCAGCAGCAGCAGCAGAGTCCTGGCATCTACTTCCACCACTGGCAACCGCCCACCTCCCAAGCCGGAAGCTCAAATCAGCCGGCGACACCATCTGGTGCGTCCAACAAGAGCAAGAGAAAGCGAGATTCGCTTTAAGCTAACCCTGGCTTGTCGAGGCGAAGTAGGAGAGTCTCCCAGAAACAAGCGCAAGGCAACGGATCCGCAGCAGGCCGCCCCGATGCCGAGCCACCAGCAGCATCGATTCAAATCTCCACCCGTTCTCTTCAAGCCCGGTGCGACGCTGAGCAACCCACCACCTAGTCGGCGGCGGGGTCAGCATTCTCGGAGGGGCAGCGACCAACCGTCGTACAGAATGGGCGGACTCCACCACGGCGAGAGTTCGGGAACCCCCAGAGCCTCGTCCCCAATGGCGACCGGACCATCTCTACAGCATCATGTCAACCGCATCGCTGGAGGCCATTCAGTCTCGTCGCTTTTATCGGAGGAGCCGTCGTACGCGTCAACGTACCCCTCCTCTTCTTCGGCGGAGACAAGACAGGATCAGGAGCGACAGGCAGAGTACCAGCGACATCAACAGGAGCAGCAGCAGCAGCAGCAACAATCACATCAAGAGGAAGGACATAACGTCAATAGCAGAAGAAGCAGTCCCGAGCAGCATGGGAGATGATCCGCAGGATCGGTAGCCACGCGAGACGAGGCGATCAATGAACAGCCAGGACATGGCAGATAGGCCAACCGGCGATTTTTTTCGGCTCCAGGGCTGAGCGCGACACACCCGTTGACAGGGGCATTTTCTTTCGGATACGACCGTGACGACACTTTTCGATTCTACGGGTGCACATTATTCTTACCTTTCAACACTCGACAAACCCTCATGGGTCTCGATGGCCGCCTTTTCGTTTCCTTTCTTTTTTTTTTCTTGGCCCCCAGCGGGCTAGGGGGCGCTTCTCCGACTCTCGATTCGAGATACATCATTACAGGACAAGGGTGTTAGGATCTCAGCTTGGGGACTTTCGATCAGCGCATCTAGGGAGTAGGCAGGCAGGCGGGCCGGCAACGGGGCATCTGAGGGGCGGAACGCTTCGGTTTTGACCAGTCTCGGGTCGCAAGCGCTCACTTTGAATTCGAACACATCATACCATAGGGTCTTTTCTTTTCTTCATTGTACCTATTAGGTCCTTCTTGTCTTCTCTTCTTTGGTTCCCCTTGTCCAGCTCTTCTATCTCATGGTTCTGTAGAAGCAGTGCAAAGGAGGGAGGGGGCGGCTTGACGACAGCATTTTGTTGCAACACTTCAGAAAACAAAAACAAGCACAGAGTCAGCAGCCGACGCAGCATTCCCCTATCTCGGGCGCGAGAGGGGTTCTGGAGAGGCGACCTTGTCGGCCTTTTTCGAGCGGGCGCGGTTGAACGTTCGCACCAGGAGGGAGGCGGCGAGACGGGGGATAACAGCTTGGGCCGGGCCTGGGGGTTGTGCCCGTCTCGCCGCCTCCGGACATGTATTGCGATAGCCTGCGCTGAGAGCAGAGATTTATCAACGTTGAACTGATCATTCACTGCGCACCCTTGATTTGATTTGCTGCCGTGCCAAATTTGCCGAAACCGGTTTCCGCAGGAGGATGCAATTTCTGTGCCGCCTTTTGGACGTTGGATTTCTGCCTCGCTCGTCTACGTCTACTCCCGTTCGGGTTAGGCTGCTTGGGGCATGCCAGAGGCTCTCTCTCGCTCTCGACCCGTTTGGGCTGCAGGAAGGGGGGAGGTGAGGTTCGGGACGGCATGTTTCAGACCCTGGGGTCGTATTTCGCTTGTTTGATTGGGGAGGCTTTTCTTCTGCCCTTCATCTTCAATCGGCCGCCTGTTTCCCCGCCTTGATTCGCATTGCGCGCATCTCGAGCCACTCTATTGGCCTTTTCTTTATGCTCTGTTGTTCTTTGGGTCCTGGCCGTTGCGTGGAGGGGGGGCCAGAGGGAGGATGCAAGGCGATCCTGTTCGGGCGCGTAGGAGGGGCCGTGTGCCGTGATTTTTCCACAACTTTGCAGGGCAGACGAGAAGAGGGGAGCGAGAGACTCCCCCTACACGGGCCCGCGCGCCTATCTGTCTCCCTGTACTCTCTCTCTCTCTCTCTCTCTCGGCATCTTCTCTCGTCTCCCTCCCCTGGTAGCCGGGTCCGTCTGTACTTGGAGGTTTGCTCTTCTTCTCGCTTTGCTGCACGGCCCATTGCATGCGTGCGGCCTGGTGGGCCCGAACAATCAACTCCATGAAGTTTAGTTCGTTAGGACATGCCGGATTCGGGCACCGGCCGTGAGATGGACCACTCAGGGGCGGCGCTGCCACTACGACGTTTTGTGGCATGGGTGTGTGGCTCGTCGTTTATCGCTTGCCGCCTGGTGTCTCGCTCCTCACATCTCACGTCTGTTTGTCTGCATATCTGATGGCAACCCTAGATCTGGGAAACGAGCTGTTCCTGCTTGGCTCTTTCCCGTCACCCTTTTGTTCCTTTGTCTCCTCGGCACCGGAGAGGCGGGGCGGGTGGGTGGGAAGGGAGAGAGAGGGGAACAAACAGGATGGGCGCACCTATCGGCTGTCGGGGTGCACGTAAGGTGAGACATGGGACGGCGCGCGGGACACCGCTGGCATGGGAACAAGTCTGGGGAGGGCAGCGGAAGGAGGGTGGTGGTGGGGGCGTGAACAAAGGAGGACGGTCTGGCCACGTCCAAGCAAGCCTAGGTAGTAGGTTGGGATTTAGGTAGGGACCTAGATAGGGACCTAGATAGGGACCTAGGTACGTAGGGCTGCGTGGGATGAAGAAGGCTGGGGCGAAAAGATCACTGCCGCTCGACATGATGACGTCAGAGAGGGAAAAGGCGTGGTGACACTTCTGTGTGATATAGTACGACTGCACTGCTCTCGAGATGAAGTGATGTCTCATGGCGAAAAGGGACAAGTCGCGAGACCGGGGGAGAGGGGCGCCTCTGCCGGCAGGGGAAAAGCCTTCGGGGGGGCCTCCGAGGTCAAATTTGGCAAAAGCGGAGATGGGCCACACATATGGTGATTATGCGCAAAGCACCTCCCCAGGTTGGGGGGTCTGAGGGGAAAACTGTCCTTCACCCGGTGTGCTTGAGGCGAAGGGTGGCCCCCGGAATCCTGATGGAGATTGCGGACTAGATGGGTTTCGAACGAGTCGGGTTCCTGCCTGTTTGGTGGTATCATGCCCCCGTCCCTGGGATGCTGGATAAGGGGAAGGGGGGGGGCTGCTTTGTCGTGCGCTCATGCGTCGTTTTCGACCGGCTGGTCAATCTCGGCCAAGGACTGCAGTGCTGGCGTGTCTCTGATGCCAATGGACATGGGATGCTAGATCGAGGTGTGGCTACATGGCTGTGAACGGGCGAACGAACGGGTTCGATCTGAGGCTTTCATCATGCAGGAGCACTTGTCTAGGGAGGGAAGGTCGACACGAGTTCTGCACGCATCTTCCGAGTCGAGCATGTGCCTCGACTTGTACGTCGTTCAGAGATGGAAGTGATGGACAGAAGCATGAAGCAGACAGATGAGGGAATGGCTGGCGAAGACTCTGATGCAAGGTCTGGGTGTCCAGCGAGAGGCTGCGACGTACGTATGGAAGGGCCGTTGCTCTTGAAGTCATACCCCTACTACTGCCAGCCGTCGCGTCAGGTTGCGACTTGTGTTAGAGATGTACGAATTGAACCGTGACAAAGGAAATGACCAGACGCAAATCCAGACCTGGCGGACCTCGATACACAGATAAGAATGGTACGCGAGGCGACGAAGTCCATCATGCTCTATCTTCAAACCCAGTGGATTGGGGCATTGGAAGATATCCTGGTGGCCATGGAACCGAGTCGAGCTAGGGACAAGGTCTTCAGTTCGGAGCAACAAGTCAATGTGGCTCTCCTTGGGGATGTCTTTGCTCAAGGTCATCGAGAGTGCTTGGCGTTGGCGTTTGGTAAGATTGACTCTTCTGTTTTTCGGTTTCCTTCTCTCTGCGTTTTCAGTCTCCTTGCACGGTATGGTTGAAAGGCCTTTCTGCGACCATAGTAGGGCACAAAACAGTCATCTTCTGATTCGCAGTCAGATGCAACAAGAGGAGTAGTCTTCGAGGTATCTTCTCGAGCAGAACGCAGATGTACAGAAACCTGGTCTCGTAGACGAGGCTCTGTTCATAACCCTCCCTGCCGTGGCATTTAATAACCAAATTATGCTTCAGAAAGTCTACTATTGGAAAAGAAAGACCCTAATAGTTAATGAGAAAGTGAAACTCATATCTACTCTTAGTAAAGTGATGCGCAAATAGCAGCGACGAACTCCTCTAAATAACCTCAAACCTAAGATAACACGTGCTTGGAAGCACCCACTCAATACAAGAAAAAGCAGCTCGAGTAAACTACACAGGGTTTTCAAGGGACGGCATCCAAAACGTACTTGTTTCCCCTGTCGAACGATTTCCTAGCTAGATACTCCGTGAAGAACCCCATACAGCGTGATAGACCAGTCTGTTACTGAAGAATCCAAGACTACAGAAATGACAGAATCGTGTGTTACGTCCACCTGTACTTAAGATAGACTAGCCAGCCAGTCTTGTGACTATCTGCACAATGTTCTCTGTCTTTATTTCTCCCGCTCTGTCTATCTCTCTGCAAAGAGGAGTGCATGGTTGTACAGGCTCGACACCTCTGTCTTAGGTCTGCAACGAACAGCATCGCGCCTTGTGCCGGAGGAAACATTCACCAGACGGATTGAACCAACCGCGATGGTGCCCAATTAAGAAATCGCAGCCATGGATTATCATAAGCAGCTCGGAGAAACGCTTGATCCGTGTGATCGGGTTACCAAACTCAATCAGGTCCTCCAAACCGATGGGCACTCAACATGGGAGATGCAACTGAACGGACATACCCACTAGAACATGATACTACCCGCCCCGTACCATCACCCGTGGGGCTACGTCGTGTTTACAAAAATTAAGCGACGGTATACGCGAAGGCGCTCAGTGAGAGTCTTGAGATGAAGCACATGGCATACGAGCATCTGAACCAGGTCTGTAGCTGACAGATGTATCATCCAGGTCAGCTACCAAGGGCGTCCGCCAGCCAGCTCACACATAAAGCTCAGAGTCCCAGTTATGCTTTGATATTCAACAGTCAATTCAACTTAGACATTATGCATTCAACCCCCCGACTAGCCGTCTTGTATCAACACAGCCTCAAGCCATCGTGCCGAAGCTCTAAAACAAGCGACAAAAGAAAACGTGTCCAGCCGTCTAGGCAAAGTCATGCGCACATGGGGTATCGCGTGCCAAACGCAGAGCAGAAAACAACAACAGACCCAGAGAAAGAACAAGAGAAGAAGAATAAGAAAAAGGGAGAGAGGGAGACACTGTCACCGCCAACGCCTTGCACGCTTCAACATGGAAGCTCCCCAGTCCGCCCGCCTTCCCACTGAGACTACCGTTTTGGTGAACCGACATCATCGTTCGTACACCCGCGTGTTCCCCGGTCGAGCCGGCCGGAGAGCAGGCGGCATTATCCACCTAGCAGAGCCTTCTAGGCCCGCTTCTTCCCCTGCTGCGCCCGCCACTCTGCCTTGGTGACCTTCATGAGCAGGTCCTCATCCTTGATGGGGATCCACGACGTCAGCGCCTTCATGGCGTTTTCAAAGTCCGAATCGAGCAGCACCTCACCCAGGGCGCTGATGAGAGCTGCGCTCGTTGCGTGCACAATATCGATGCCCATCACAGGAAGTGCTGCCGACGGCGGCCCAGCAGACTTGGCCGTCATGGGTCGCTGCTCAGGAGCTGCCTCACCGAGAAAGCAGGAAAACGTCCCAGACGCGGAGCTGCGCCTGGGAAAGGGAATCCGAGAGGGTTGAAGAGGGTGAGGGTACCAGCGCGTGCCCATACGCAGGCCGGGTCGATGCAGAAGGTCGGTCCTGCGATAGTTTAGTGCCCTGATACATTCATGGAGCGGCGGAAAGGGAACGGTACCAATTTTGCCTTGCGTGCGACGTCTTTTCCGCCCAACCACTGCGTCCTCAAAATTCCCCGAAGTGCGCCCATGAGGCCCTCAAAGCCGGGCTGGTACAGCGCCTCCAGCCCGCGCAGCTGCCACATGCGCACGAGCATGACGAAGCATTTCTCCTCATCAAAGTAGCACAGGAGGGTAGCGGCCAGCGAGGCCATACCCTGGACGTAGCCGACGTCGGGAAAGTACAGCGACAGCGCGTGCAGCACACGAAAGAGCAATCGCTGACCGCCGCGGTAGCGTCGACGGAACATGATGTGGCGGTTGATGGTGCGTGGCACGTCGAGATCGATCTGCACGTCGTCCGGAGAGCCAATGTCCTGGTAGCGGCGGAAGGCAGCGATAATGTCCTCCTCCGGCGCCGAGTCCTTCCGGCCGCGCGCACTCGTCGCGAGGAACGAGTACCATGCAGAGGCGCGCCAGCGATCAGGAATGCCCTTCCACGTGCGTTCAATGAGCTTGGGGTTCTTGACATCAAACTCAAAGTACATGCCCTCACCGTCCTTGCCCTGTTTGACAACCTTGGCCATTTTGCGCCACTTCTCGGAGCGCTCCCACTCCTTCTTCTTGATGGCCTCAGAGATCTTCTCGACCTTCTCCTCGTCTTCCATGCCTGGAGCGAGTGTCAGCATGTCGCCGGCCTCGTCCATCCACCGGCGGTTGCGGTTGTGTGGTAGATAGTTGCTGGCCTGGCGAATGGCAGACCGCGTGGAGCGGCGCGAGCGCACCGACAAGCCCGAGTTCTGCGTGTTCAGCGATCGGGCTGACACCTTCCTGCTGGGCGAGCGGCCGCCGGCGCCGAGATGGCTGGAGAGGCCGCCGGACGGATCGCGCTTCATCAACAGGTTCCTCCTCCTAGGAGCATACTGTGCAGACTTGAGCTCGGTGGGCGTGCCGACGCGCGAGTCTGGGTTGCGGGGCGGAGCGATGAAGCCGTAGCGGTCGACATCGGCATTGTCAATATCCTCCCAGTCTTCAATGCCGCCGGCGCGTTCATGTTCGCGGCGCGCGTCCTGCTGCTCGGGTCGGGAGGACGAAGAGGTTGCGGAGCGCGGTGTAGGCCACGCGAGAGGAGGTTGCAGTTCGGAGACCCTGAGGAAGAGGACCAGGTCAGTGGGTGTTCGAGGCGAAGCAGAAGCAGGCGACAAGGAAACCATACGGGTCATTCTCCAGCTCCTCGCTCGGGACGGGTTCATTCTGCTCGCCGAGCGGGGAGAGGCGTCCTCCGTCTTCCCAATTGATGACATCGCCAGATTCATAGAGCGATCTCACCTTTTGCGAGTCCTTCTCAGCCTCGGGGGACAGGAGGCGAATGCTGGGGGTGGTGGTGGTCTGGGATGCCGTCTCGAGGGCGGTGTCGCTGGTGGCGGTGGTGGTCGTCATGGCGATGCTGGGGCTGGCAACGTCCTCGGAGTGCGCCTTCTGCGACACGGCCGTCGGCGGTGGGTGCACGTCGCCTTCGGCCTCCATGGTGCTGTCGGTGGGCTGGGAGACTGCGCGTCGACCGCTGAACATGACACTGCCGCGTTGGGAGAAGCTCAGGTTGGAGAGGAAATCATCGTCGAGAAACGCGTCGTTCGGGATGGCGATGGAAAGGGGCGAAAAGTCAGGGTCGGCGGGGGCGTCAGCGGGCAGGTGCGGCGCCGGCGACGAGGCGACGGCGACAGGGGACAGATTAGGCGATTTCTCGCTGGTGCTGGCTGGGGAACTGGGATGGTCATGGAGATTGTGATGCGGGACGGGGCTGGCATGCTGCTGGCCCTGGCACGCTGCGGACCCCCGCGAGAGCAAGGGCATGGGGGCGGCACTTGATGTGGCTGAGATGGGGCTTGTTTCTTCGCTTAGCGAGAGCTGTTTGTTCCGTTGGAAACGTTTGGTCGTGTTCAAGGTCCGCAAGCTGAGGCTCTTGATGAGTCGGCGGGCCGGTGTAGGTGCGGACGGTGGCGGCGGCGCTGACTCTCCTGCGATGGATGACACGGTTGACGAGGTGACGCAGGCGATGGGGAGTGGTGAGGGCAGGGATGGATGCTCGGGCTGATCGTCGGTGGAGTAGACTGATTCCGTGTCGTGAAGGGAGGGTGGGGATGGTGTCGGTGCTGTGGTCACGGTGACGCCCGCTTCAAAATGCTTGTCGTACAAGGCAATATCGTGGAGCTTGTCCCTGTCCTCGTCGTCCTCGTCCTCGTCAAAGAGGGTGGTTGATGAGGTGGTGCGTGCGAGGCCCGAGTCGCGCTTCCACGCCTCCTCGGGGGGGATGGATGTGTCGCGGCTGGCAAATAGACTGCGGAGCGCAGGGTGCTGCTCGTTCGGTGGCGCGACGACGACGACACGAGAAGGGGGGTTACGGGCGGCGGAGGGAGATGTGGGCGGGGACCGGGGCGAGGAGGTGCAGGGCGAGGTGGGCGGGCGCGGCGCAGACCTCGTTGTGGTGACGGATGTTCTTCTGCTCGAGGCCAAGTTGGTTGTTGAGGTGTTGGGGGAAGTAGGAGCAGTTCCGGCGAGGGAGCGAGGCGGCATCAGAATAGGTGGTTCGGCCTGCACTGTGTTCTCGTACCGAAAAGCCACGACGTCGCTGAAGATGGAGGTGACGCTGAGGGGAAGCGGCATCAGGGCCGACGGCTTGTGCCTCGTTGCCCTCAGGCTGTTGGTGTTGGTCGCGGTGGGCATCTAGGAGGGTCGTACTGTACTGTGGCGTACGGCGGTATGGGTGGGGATCTTGATTGATGCCGTGCTAGGGGGCGTGCACAGATGACGATCGCCGGCAAGAGGGCGGATTAACCTAGTGCGTGCCTTGCAGTAGTAGGCGTGTACGATGGGACGGCGCGCGGGGAAAGCTGGTCGACCTGTAGCTGTAGGCGGGTCTGTGCTAATGGCACTTTTCTTTGGCACACAGGCGAACTGGTAGTGGACGGGAGCTGATAGGTAGCAGGGAGCTGAGCTGTGTCTCTTGGCTCGGTATAGCTCGACGGAGTAGCTCAGGTGTGTATGGTGGTGCGTGGATGTTGGTGTTGGTCCTGTCGCTAGTTGGGAGGGGTGAGGGGTGATGGGCGCGTGTAAGGACGAAGCAAGGAACGAGCGTCGGGACGGTGTGATGTCGTCGTGAATCAGAGGGATCGTGAGGTCGTTTAAGTGGATAAAAGGAGGTAGCGTCGAGGGCGTGTGCGTCGTTGATTTGTTGTTGTTGTTGTTGTTGATGATGTTGATGATGATGATGATGCTCGTCGTTTGTTTGCGGTTAATGATGGGATGAGATGATGAGACGAGGGACCAATCGAGGGAAGTGACGAGGGAGGAGCCAAGGGGGAAAAAGCTCGATATTATAGACAAACTAGTCGAACCAAGACCAAAAGCAGTAACCCAGGATCCAGACAGACCCAGGCAGACCCAGATCGTCGTGGTGTCTTGTTGTTGATCGAGGTTCCGAGTCAATAGATCCCTTCGACAGGAATAGGGTCAAGTGCCCCTTGCTTCTGCTCGGCTGAGAAGCGTCTGTGATCCCCGGATTGGTGTGTGTGGGTGTGTGTGCCCGTGTCGAGAGCTACCGGGAACAGATGCTTGGGAGCCGGAGAAGCAAAACAGAAACAAAAGGCCATGGATGCATGGGGTCCAGCTGATGGACGTTTTGTTTTCTCTTGTGCGAGCAGCTCGTGCTGTTTTTTTCTTTCTTTGTGTGTCTTGCTCTGTCAGAGATCGTTGACGCGATTCTGCTGCAGCAGCTGTTTCCTACTGCTGGCAACTTGCTGCAAACGATGAATGGAGAAGGAGAGGGGCATCATCCCCTCATGATACCATGGACTTGAAGACGACTTGCCGTGGTGCGCTGTCAATGGGCGTTTGACGCGGTATCTTGGGTGTCACCGCTCTAGGCATTGTGCAACTGCCGCCAAACCACATGCGCCTATCGTATTGTTTTGTCCATGGCGCCTGCCGTCGCCAACGCAGCGAACGTGACATGCCACCTCACCTCACATTGCCTCGTCTTGGGTCATCACGAACGGAACCTATTCCATACCCGCTCTACCCAATACTGCTTCATGGCTCATGGCCCTCAATCTTTGCCCGCCAAGCAACTCACTTCTCTTTCTGCGACCGACACAGGTCACAAGCGCCCCACGCTATCCAAGCCCAAGCCCAACTGCCGTTTGCAGACGCCTTGGCCATCCCTCTCGCAGAACCTCCCCTCAAACCTCCCCTCGAACCTCCCCATCCATCATCCGCTCCTCTCCATCATCAGGTCTTCTCCGATCAAAATCTAGATCAACCCCAGATCCAGGCACCAAATACAGGCGCAGGCACACAGCCGTCAATGCAGGTACCATGACCGGCTGACACGATTTCCGAACCCACTGTCTCGGTCCGCCCGCCAAAAGAAAAACCACAAACCGCCACCAGCTGGCCAGCGATCTGCCTCCCGAGGGCACCAACAGAGCCACTTGCGCATCAGCTTCCATTGATCTCCTCTCCACTACCGGAGAAAGAGAGAGAGAGGGGGAGCATCAGGTAATCAACAATCCTCTCCAGGCCCCCCCAAGACTCCTAGGCCCCCCGGGAGGAAAAGAAACACGCCTCGCAGGACAAAGTAAGTCGACAATCTACAAGTCGGCCAATCCCGCCCGAGCCATTCCTTGCCGAACCTCTCTTCAGCAGGCGGGGTTTTTTTTCTTTATCAATAAAATTTTCAATCAGATATCACAAGACTTCGTCCAGTCAGCTCGAGGAAGAAAAAAAGACGTTGTCGAATTGGTGCATGATTGACGTGGCAGGCTGTACGTGGGCGTTCGCCTCGGCTGACAAGCGACGTGAGAACCAGTCAGGCACGCACGACTCGAACGCCCACGGCTTGGCTCGTCATCTCCTCTGTTCCCCCCTTCCGCACCGTGCTTCTTCACCTGCCGGCCCGTCATCTTTGACCATGTCAGCATATCATACTACAGAGAGAGCCTGCAACGTGGATTTCTTTCTCCTCGTCACATACACCGCGCGTAGGAACGTGTCACAAGCTGAA